AACATATTAAAATATTTTAGATGTGGTACTGATAAAATAGACCTAAATGCAGAATTAGACAAAATACACCCAAAAAACTCTTGTAGGGGCTGCATACTCGGTAGAGTTTAAGTCTACTTACTGACCGGTCTCGTGGAACGCGGCTCACGAGTTTTATATCCTCGCCTGACAAAAACACCCGCTGTACTTTTACACTTGATCGCCTTAACCAGAAGTCGCTGTTCAAAGGCTACCGATATAGTTGTAGAGTTCATGTGACTTCCCTGGTTCGCATGAGCAACTGAGGTCATAACATCAAGGATGTATTAATCTATTGACCTGGGCAAATTCAGCTAAATGCTCTATGTTCTTGAATTTGATAGCCAACAATCTAGGTGAGCTGATCTCCGTTATATGCGACGGAAAAAAATTTAGATCACGCTGATATGTTTTCTGACTCACATTTAGATAGCGTTATGAAAACTTCTATTGTTGTCCACTGTGTTCATGTGCTTGAAACTTTGCCTACAGTTCCTCGAGCAGACGACTGCGCATTATTTTAAAAACAGTTGTGCACGTTTTATTCTCTAAAGTCATCGAGTAAATTAGAATTTCATTTGTAGTAACTGAAAATTAGTTAACTGAGATAGCTGAATATACCACATGATGGTTTGTTCCAAGATTCATAATGGTGATCGCAGAGTTTGTCAGTGTTGACGTTTAAAAATTTATTGAAGAGATTGTAACGAACGAAATTTCAATTTTTGGTCCGAATGCAGAGCTAGCAAACCAGGGTCTGTTCGATTAAGCCAAACTGGGTTCTTTAACAAATGGAGTACATAGCCTTTTGTATAGTGTTAAATTGTTCTAAAACCGGTTCTAATATGACAGAGAAAATAAATTATATCCGGACTACAAAATACCTCGAACGCTAGGGCTTGTGCTATACAGTCAAAGATTTCTCTGGCACAAAGTAACGTGCTTAACGTCAAAAGGAATAGTTAATTAATAAGAGTTCGATACATGAGAACCAACAAAAATATTCCCAACAAGATGATATCAGATATCTTCTTGCAAGGGGTTGCAGTGACCGTTTTTAGAAGGCAGTTGAAGGTCAGTAATCATCAACTTCAACATGCTGTAACAATGAGTGTAGTTGACCACAACATTTTTGTCAATGACCTGACAATACGCACCAGGAAAATTAAACAAAAAAGCTTAGTTTTAACCAAAGGTAAAAAAATAAAAGTTCAAACAGAGGAGACTGAGGAATGTAAAACATGTGTAGCATGGCGTCGATTTGAGATTAACTATGAACACCGCTACCAAGAAACATGTGCCAAGTAGATCAGAAGGCGAAGGTTGAACGTAACCAAAGAAACCCATAAAATCTCCGAGAAGCTGCAGAATTATGATCTACTATGATATTAGTACTGCTTTAATAATAGACCTAATCCTAAATTTGTAGATTTGTCATGATATAACTGCCGAATCTATAAGGTCTTACGTGGAAGTCACACCATCGACTTCACCAACTCACTGTATCGTATGAAATACCAATACATGATGTAGAACAAGGTTAGGCTAGAGGAAGAACAATATATTTAATATGAATAGAAGATATAAGGTAACATTCAGCAGAGACCACGCCTGCATGGCCGAGCCATGCCACTCGATCAACTCCAGTCCATTCAACTCATTGTTCGCGCCTTCTCCAAAGTCAAATACCTGAAGGCAAGTAATGGACCAAGTCGAGTTATATTTGCTGGCGATCTCGTGGCATCGAAAGGATACCGATATCGTGCCAGGATACAAACTTGGTTACAGAACGTAACCGAATTCGCGCGAAGTTACAATCAAAGTGTAAGAATCAGAATGGAAGCACAAAATAGTTGTCATTAGCACAGTCAAACAAAAGCATATTAAAACAAACACTGGTACAGTTGGTTATAATAATAATTGTTTTTATTAAACCAGTCGTGTTCTCGTGATAAACGTGAGTCACTTCACATGTTTAAAAGAGTCCTGATCGAAGTTTAACATGCAAAACAGAGTAGGAGAATAAATAAGTAACAATGTTGTTTTTCCATAAAATATTCTTCATGGGTTTCCAACGTTCTCTTTCTGTCATAGATAAAAACAATATTTTAGGGTGGTCGAACACTTCCCTAACAACCAGTTGAACATTAAAAGCCCAAAGTTTTGATTGACAGACTAAGGAGTGAAGTCAGATTTGAGTGGCTGCTGATAGCTACTTTTGCCATCAAATGTCTGATATCTTTGTGATCAGCAAGCACAAACTAAGTGGTTTACTCTTGTGTCTATATTTAAGCATTCTTTCAAGCCCTTGATAGCGTTCAAAGAAGGTAGTCTAGTCATTGGAATATAACAGTTCTAGTGATTTGACAGTTATTTGGGAGTCGGTATGATTACCATCCGTTACCCAATTTAGACTATTTCTTTCTTACCAGTGAATATGCCTTTTACTTATTGAAAATAATTAATATCTGATGAGAGCCAGTTAACGACAAATGTAGATGTTTTGAACTGAAAAGTTAGTTTTAAAAAGATACCCATTTTACTTTCAGATAACAATAAGTTATAGAAACTTGTAGATCATTACCGTAGATTATTTGTGTCGAACAATCGGGGGCTTAATGAAGTTAGACGGGAATGATCTGACGAACCAGCTAACTTCAAATTCATACCTCGCAGTCAGCAGATAACGTGAATATCAAAGTACTGTAGCTGCTTTGAAGACAGTATAACGCAAAAAACGTTATTACAGAGATATATTAGTAAGAATAGATACAAGGAAGAGATTGTGCCCATCACCGCATGGGCCAGTCTATGGCGTGCGATTAATTGATGCGCGTTAGTTTTCTTTGAACTTGAAAATAATCAGTGAAGTGTTCGACATTCAGTGTCCCGTCTGCTTAATGATTTGGCTAGGGCCCAGTGAACTTTTGCTAGCCCTACAAAATTGTGAATTTCATACAGACATGTTAAATCAACATACCAGTCCACGCATTTTGGGAAATGATATCTGATTAAATGTGGGATTGTTAAATGCATTAGTTCAGTTCTACTAGTCAATTAGTGCTCAATTGTGTGAATAATTAGGATTTCTTGCATGTCAGTCCTTTTAATATTCCTGTATTTGGTCATCTGTTATATTTATGTATCTGTTTATCGTATTCTATCACTATATTGATCGATAAATACTTGAGACACGCCGACTAGCTGACACTTTTGACAGTCTACATCCATTTCAATACAATGAAGATTAGACCAGTCTAATGCAATCCTAAATTTATTTCACCAAAATGCAATCGTTAGTGATTCTAAGTGCCAGTGTCAAAATAAATTCAATTCAATTACAGTGAGGTGTAATTCTGGTATTATTTCAATACTACTACTATTTCAGTCGAGTTCTGTCCGTTCATTTCAATAATACTTTGTTATTAACCATCGCATATGCTGGTGGATGCAGTTACTGAAATATGTATTTAAGAACACTTGTATTCTAGATCTTACTTTATTCATTTGTCCTCATAGATTACCAAGATAAAGAGCATAACACATGCACATGTGTATCTATAACTTCATCTATTCCTGCGAAAAGAGCTATGTTGAGTCTATAACCAGATGACTGTGCAAGCTAGTTGGTGAACACCTCCTTTCATGGTCAGGAAAGAACATAGTCGGAATAACACGCAGCAACATTCTGTCACACTTGATCAACACCAGTCATGAGGCAGACAAAATGAGTCATCTAAATTAGTTGTTTATCTAATACCTTTGTTTATGTTGTTTGATCTCGTCTCTTACTGTTACGTCCTTAATCTATCTACTTACAATATGCAGAAGAATATATGTCTCAATCTGGATTAAGGCCTTTAAACAATAGACTGACTGATTTAACACTGAGGCTAGAAACGTGTGAGTCCGAAGTGAAACTAACTGCCTTAGGTAGAGAGACGAAAACTATCCTATCACCTAATTAGCTGACTAGTGCCTGCGAGAGAGAATACAAGTCAACTGGAACACTACTCCATTTATTCTCAATTCCGATCGGGTTCCCGATTCGGATTAGTGCATAAGATACATGAATAAATTTATGGCTAACACGACCACAACGTACAAACCATTAGGAAAATAGAATTATGTCAGAATGAGGGTTTGTGGATATTAGGGTAGAAAATAGAGTATAAAAGATTACGTTTAAATAAAAATGGCTTTGGAACAGAAAATGATATGGCAGTAAATCAAACATCAAAAGAGTGCTTATTAATATTATTATTATTATTATTATTATCATCATTAGTAGTAGTAGTAATAGTGGTGGTAGTAGTCGAACTCGGTATGCTAACTACTAGTTCTCAGAACTATTCATGTTGTACTCTGGTAGCTACCCATAGATCTGTGTTTAATTCAAATCCATGGGCACAAACGAAATTATTTTATTTGGAGTTTGTAGTGGCTGTAGTTCGTTAACCAAATACCCTCGCAACCGTTATCATATAATCCTCAACGGTGTTTGAAATCATAAGGCAAAGAGAAGCAGCGACTACAGTTTTATTAGCAGATAACTCAGACCGCTAAGCAGAGAGGCGAATGAGTGAGTCAGCGAGTCGAGAATGTATACAGGAATAAATGTACATGTATATATTATAGGGAAATGAATGGATCATCGAATCAGTTAAATAGCTAATAATAATTTACATTGGTAAACCAACGGACGAACTTCGTTAACGTGCTTTTTGCAATGATGTTACAAAAAACCATGGAGATAAGATTTGTTGATTAAGTTAAACAAAATGTTTTATGTAAATTTCATCAATTTTATCCTTGACTCAGCTGGTACAATCGTAAAGAGAAATGTATATAACGTCCACAAGAGGCTATTTCAACATCAGGACTAATTCTTCCGTGCCCATAAGTATTTTCTAGTAGCCGATTATTTCATGCTAAACTTAACCGTACTTAATGTTACTAAGGGGATATTTAAAATAAAACACTTTCTTAGTTAACGAATAAGTTTATTAACCAAATAAACAAGTGACACAAAATTGTTTTACATTTTCTGTGGTCCTATAGGTGCCGTACTTTGGCACTTTGCAATACCTGTTTTCCATAATTCTTTAACAGGTACAAGGTCTGAACTTCGATATTTTGTGTACTGATGATCATCAACTTCAAGATTGTTTGATCTAAACGGGCCACTTGACCATTCATCATGATCATGGTTACCTTGTAATTCTGTCGTTTTTTTAGAAGAAAAATGAACTATGGTGTTTTGGAAATATTTTAACGTCAATTCATGTTCCCGAAATTTATACCTGAAAGTTAATTAAAATATTACAGAATCAGAAGTGAAAATTCGATTAAAATAAATACCTTTTTTTGACGTATGTATGCAATACAGATAACTAAATTAACCAGTGGATCTATAATATTCAGCTAGATACTACTGACAATGGTGGTTATCCGTGGCTTATTTCATTCTAGTTTAGAAAAGAACAAACAACTAGCAATAGTTTTTGTAACTAGTGAAGTAACTTAAAAGTTTAAAATATCGTTAACTATGTTTTAATATTTTCCTTCAGTGACAACTATTTGATAGATACTATTTTATCCACGGATCTTGTGTTTATTATCTAATAACTGGTAATGTTTTCTTTATATATCTAGCGCTTATATCCAGTCTAGTATGTATTTAATGAATTAACGCCATATAACTGACGGCTGAAAGTACGAAACATAATCATTATGAAATTAAATTTATTTATCAATAAATTTAATGAGAGTACCTCATAGAAGAAAATTCATTTCAATAGACCCTTCTTAATCTTTAATTGTCATATGTTGATTATACATAAGTTAATATTTTATTTGTTAGTTATGTTATCTAGTAGTTGAATTCATGAGTCAATTGAAGCTAGATCATTATGGAAAACCTGGAAGCACTGGACGGCCGTTTCCTACTATTATGGGAGTCCTCAAAGCTGAGTATACACGATCCCGCCTCACGAGATTCGAACCCAGGAACTATCGGTCTCGCGCTCGAACGCTTATCCTCAAGGCCGTCGAGCCGGAATCCACTGGTGTTAATGTCTAACATCAAGTAATCCACGAAATTTAGCGACACATCCATCATCATCTTCAGTGAGTTAGTATTTCACAACAGACCCAGCTAAACTCCGCTAGTCATTGCTCCTCATTAGAATAGCAGGAAATACCTCTTGAAGACCGTCACTAGTTATGTTATTCACATCTAAAACCACATAAAATACTCATCAGAACATACTACTAACAAAGAGTTTTAAAAGAATAAGACTTAGCCTATTTTACTTTATAATGAAAAAGTATGTGTTCAAGCATTAATCAAATATTTTTTTACAATTTAGTGTAGTTCTCACCTGTTTACCAGCATCTACTTAACTTTGAATTAATAAACCAAGCAAGAATGAGTAAACATAGATTGATAAACTATAAACAGTTTACTAAAAGCGGTAACTATTGTATGTACTCTTATCAGATTAACTTATACGATTTTCTAGGTATTCGACGTACATGATTGATTTATGGAAAAGGGATTAATCAATTTATCCCATGAAAAGCAGTTAATCTATAGGGTGACTGCCTTTGAATTTCCTAGAACTAATCTTTTATCGTCACATCTTGGATTATATAAATCAATGGTTTTTGAATAAAATCACCCAATGTTTGTGAAAACATTTTAAAACAATTCATTTGATGATATAATACTCACCAAGCTTATTGCTTTTCATTGTAATGTTGTGGAAATATAGAAAAAAGAATATATTATTAAAAGCTGTTTTCTCTTTGGGGATTTTCTCAATTAGTCAGCTACAACGTAAGACCAGGTACTTATATGCATCGGTCCAAGTTGTCATACCTCATTAGCACAACAAGATGAACACCGAATTCATAGAAGTACTTAATTCAATGGTGGTAATATATAGAAGAAAGATTGCACATAAGGAGATAGTACAGGAAGAGAGAACTAGTTCGTGGAAAGAAAGATATGAAGCGATTTAAACCTCACGGTTTAAGGGAAGACAAAGAGTGTATACACCTATGCCATTGTGATCGATTCGGAGTCATGTCACCCAGAGTCTTCAACCATTGGTTACGATAGTCACACGAACCCCAATCAAGTAGTCTGCATCTACCAACATGGCTCAGACCAGAAGTTAGTGACTTCAATCACTGATGCCACATTTTGGTTTGGCCTCCCCTAACTTTCTCCCAACCATCTCCAACACTAATCAGCATTGCGCGCCATGGTGACTGGTGTGCAGAAGATATCAGGTAGATAGAAAGTTTGATTTTGAAGTCAATCATTATCATCATCGTGAACATTAGTAAAGTTTATTTCTATCATGCTTAGTTACTTTTATGATAAATAAGACATTCAGTGAAGTTCTATAAATAACCAAAACAATAACAAGGAATGATAGATTCAGAAACCTAACAATCCTCAATCTTCATTCTCATTAGAACTCATATAGAATAATATTCTCAATCAAATATTCATTAAAATGGTAATATACAACAGTAAACCAATGAATATTCATGTAGAGAATAATCTGATCATTACTGATACGTATTTGCACAATGTAGATAGTTATTCATGATTAGATTAAAATAAAACTTAATCTGTTAGTACGAATGCATAGAATTATAGATTTAAGCATCAGTTAGAAAATAAATGAGTCCTACAATAGGAGGAAACTGCCGTCCCGTGCTTCCAGGTTTTCAATAGTGGTCTAACATCAATCGGTTCATGATCTCACTCAAAAAACTTAACAATCTCCACAACCCCTAAAACTGATAGAAAATAAATGTTTGACTGTAAACAGTAGATTATATTTCGGTTATCTAGTAATGTGTAATCCTTATGCATTAGTAGAAAGATCATTCATCGGACAGCTGACATTATTCTTTAATAACATGATTTATTTTGATGATATAAGAAATTGCAATCAAATATACTGGATCAACTCTTAAAGTTTAAACTTTACATTATACAAGGAAAGTATTGTGTAAGCAATCATCATCAGTTGTATAAGATTTGGAAATATTGAACTCACTTTATTAACCTGCCTAAAAGTAGTATGATACAATGCTTACTTACTTACTTACTTACCTATTCCTGTTACTTCCGTAAGGATGATACAATAAAAGATTTTTAAATATCAGATCATCATATAAAAAGTTTATATAAAGCTTATAGCGTTGAAAGAATTCCATACATGATCTTTAGTATGTTTCGGTTAGTACAGTACATCATAATTATAAAACATTTACTATTTGTACATATACGAAATTTGTCATTTATTACATACAATAATTTCAACTTACTATTTAATATTGGATCTTATATTTAATGTTAATATTATTTCTAGTTTGAAATAAAGACCAGTGTCAGGCAAGGTTGCTTACTCTCACCCTTTCTTTTTCATCTAGTGATTGACCGGATCATGAAGACATCAACATCTGGGGGGGGGGAAGCATGGGATACAGTGGACAGCTAGGATACAGCTGGATGATCTAGACTTCGCAGATGATCTCTCTCTTCTATTGCAAACACTCAACAACAAACACTGGAGAAGCTTTGGAAGATGTAAAAACCTTTACATATCTGAGTAGCATCATTGATGAACACGGTGGATCTGATGCAGATGTGAAAGCACAGATTGGCAAAAGAAGAACAGCATATTTACAATTGAAGAATATCTGAGACTCAAAACACCTATTAATCAACACCAATGTCCGAATTTTCAATACAAATGTCAAGACAGCTCTACTGTATGAGACAGAAACTTGAAGAATTACGAAAGCCATCTTCCAGAAGGTACAAATGTTTATTAGCAGCTATCTACGCAAAATACTTTGGATCCATTGGTCAGACACTATCACCAACAACCTATTATGTGAGAGAACAAACCAGATTCAAGGGAAGGAAGAAATGAAGAACAAGCGCTGGAAGTAGATAGGATTTAACTGTATCTTCAACGCCAAAAGTAAAGTGAAAGACCCAAGTTCACATTACACCAAGAAATTGAGAAATAGACATGAGAAAAACGGACAATAATTGAATAGAATTAGAACGGAAGATCCAAGACAGATTGAATTATTAGAGAATACTCCATTGCAAGTAACAGATGTAAATAACTAAGTAAATAATTATAAGAAACAAAAAAAATTCACAGGTTGAAATCATAAGTCAATTGAAGCTAGACCACCATGGAAAACCTGGTCGGTCGTTTCATCCTAGTATGGGACTCCTCAGCAGTGAGCATTTCACGACCTCGCCCCCCGCGAGATCCGAACCCAGGACCTAGTGGTTTCGCGCTCAAGCACTTAACCACTAAACCACTGAGCCGGCCGGCATCCGACAGTGTTAATGTCTAACTTCAACCAATCTACCATACACCATCGTCTTCAATGAGTTAATATCTCACAACCGACCTGGTTGAACTCCCAGTTTTCCATTTTAATGTAACTTCAATTGACCCATGATTTCAACCAGTGAAATTTTTAAAATCTCCACAAAACCCCTTGTTAATTCTATCGAAGCGTCGAAGTAACCCCGATTGAGATACGCGCAAAATCGAAGTTCCAAAACAACGATTTTGCGCGTATCTCAATCGGGGTTACTTCGACGCTTCGATAGAATTAACAGTTCTCAACTTTGGTCTCATTCATTTGGTGTGGATACAGTTCTGAACTTTGGTCCTAATTGGAGTGAATACTTGCTGTAACAAATTTGGTCGGAATCCTGTTTGGTTCATTCATCCCAACGATGACTAGTACGAGAAGAATGAAGTACAACGATGACAGTTCCCAAGACACAGACAATTTCAGTGCTGAAAATATTATTCCTTCAATTTCTAAGATGAATTCACCTATTCCTTTAAATCTCGCCTTTGTAGACAAATCGTTGTTTTGGAACTTCGATTTTTTCACGTATCTCAATCGGGGTTACTTCGACGCTTCGTTAGAATTAACACCCCTTTCAGATAAGAAAAAAGAAAAGAACAATTCAATTTCACTCTTACCTATTACTTATCATTCTTGTTACATTATATAATACCATTCCAAATGGTTGTCTTTTTGATGGTACAATATAAATAAAATCAATTTTAATACGATGAATTAATTTAATCGTATGAATTATAGTTAATGGTGGACATATGAATTCTTTATATAAATCTTGATTTAATATTTGCCAACATGAACTAGAATGTTCTTTTGTATAATTCTGATAATAAATAGTTTGTTTATATTCAATAAATTTCTTTCGACCATTTAAATAGAATGTTAATGTTACTGATTCATTGGCATTAATTGATTTTAAATGGATAATTTGTTTTAAACTAATTAAATGATACCATTTTGATTGTTGAGAATGATTCGATGATAGATCTTTTAAAAAGATTTCTACATTATTTAAATAAGAATGATTCGGTAAATGATATAATAATAATGATTGTTGTTGTTGATGATGTTGATGATTACTGAATTGATTCCATAATAAATAAGTAGTATATATAGATGGATGAAAGAAAAAGTTGAATAGAATACAAATAATAATGAATAAACAAAAACAACTAAAACATAATAGGATACGAATAAGTAACCAATATTTTTGTTTCCATATGAAATTCTCTTCTAAATTATGATTATTATTGATTTGATTCGATTGTTTATTATTATTATCATGACAATGACTTAATAAATATTGACTTTCTTTCATCATAGAATTTATTGATTTCATATAAGAATCATTCGATTTCATATGTATATATGATATAAAACTAATCAATAAACGTAAACAAATCAATAGAATGATACATATACCTTTTATTAAATAACCAATCGATATAATTGATTCTTGACATGTATATAGATATGTATATAATATCATTAATGGTAATTCAGCTATCAATATATTGATTATAGTAATACAATCAATCAATAACCATAATGTAAATTTATTTCTTATTATATTAAACCATAATAAAAATTCTATTAAATTCAATGTTAATTCAATAATATTAAATAAAATTATAGAATGGATCATAATATTTGATATTTGATCATAAACTAAACCAGGTAATTGTTGATTTAAATCATTGACAATAATCCAACTAGATAATGTATTACATAATAATAGAATTAATATTATACATATATTGAATATAAGTATCCATGGTTTTATAAGATATTTTATTAGAATAGATGATTGTTGATTCATTTGTTGATTCATTTTAATAAGTAGTATAGTTTGGTTTCTTTAGTAATGATGGAATAGAATTGTTTAGTTGTTTTCTTTTTTGTATTTTATTCGTTAAACAAAACAAAACAAAAACCAGAACTGAAAAGTAAAATTGATTACACAATTCGTTGTTGTTGTAAATACTATTCATATGAGTATTATATTTCAAAGAATAGTAATCATCTAGTGAGCATGAGTACAATTATTGATTATTCCATATTGATTATGCATTTTACAGTGTGGTCTTCATAGGATTCTATAATAATAATAATAATTAATATTATTATTATTATCATTATTATTATGGTTAGCTTTATTCAGTATTACATTCTTGGTACAATATAGAACTTCCAGTACAAACTATTTCAACAAGTTTCCTTTTCACAGATTGAAATCATGAGTCAATTGAAGCTAGACTACCATATAGAACCTGGGAGCACTGGACGGCCGTTTTGTCCTAGTATGGGACTCCTCAGTAGTGCGCATCCACCACCCCGCACCTCGCGAGATTCGAACCCAGAACCTATCAGTCTCGCACCAGGCGCTTAATCAACTAGACCACTGAGCCGGCCGGGATTCAATGGTGTTAATGTCTAACTTTAACCAATCCATGGAGTTACGCCACTATACACCATTGTCTTCAGTGAGCTGATATCTCACAACAGACCTGGTTGAACTCCATTGGTAACGGCTTCTCGCTAGAACTCCAGGAGTATCTCTTGAAGTCAGTCACTAGTAACCAGATGATTATTATCAGAAGGGGTTTGTGGAAATATTAGTAATTTCACAGATGTAAATCAAGTTTCCTTTCCTTAATTATTCATCAATCCTGACGATCAATACTAACTGATCTCGATAGTGTAATCAGAAGATGAAGATTATCAGAACTATGTGATGATATATTAGTGTAATATCTTTTGAACAATCTGATCACATACAATATACCTGTTAAGATAATTGATATTTAAAAAGAAAAGGTTAACTAGACTAGAAATGAGAGGTAAGAGGAGACAAAGATAATAAAAATATAATACCGGCTCAGTGATCTAGCGGTTAAGATATCCCGGACTGGATGTCCGGTGATCTAGCAGAACAAACCAAATCAACTTGTATGTCATTAAAGGAGAGTGGAAGTGCAGATGGCACCTGTGCAACCTCTAGCGTCGTGTGAGCGGTACACATGCATGTGCAGCGAGAGTAACTGGTTAACAATATTTAGCCAAATGCCTCGTCATCTAATTAGTGACGCGCATGAATGGATTAACGAGATTCCCACCGTCCCTATCTACTATCTAGCGAAACCACAGACAAGGGAAGGGGCTTGGCAGAATTAGCGGGGAAAGAAGACCCTGTTGAGCTTGACTCTAGTCCGACTTTGTGAGGAGACATGATGGATGTAGTATAGGTGGGAAATGGGTGCTTCGGTGTCCAGCGTAAATGAAATACCACTGCTATCATTGTTTCTTTACTTATTCAGTGAAATGGGAACGAAATTGTATTTTGCTTCAAAGCACATTCCAGGGTGTATGGTCTATCGCTGCGTACCTCGGTATCCTGTGTTCGAATCTCGTGAGGTGAGTTTGTGGATGCGCACTGCTGAAGAGTCCTAAAATAGGAGAAAATGGCAGTCCAGTGATTCCAGATTTTTCATGGTGGTCTAGCTCCAATTGGTTCATGATCCCAACTATGATATCCACAAAAATCACTTCTGATATCAAATAACGTGAAAACAATTTGAAATTGGATCACTCTAGATAATAGGCTAATATTACCAGAGTAGGCTTAAGGTGAGAACAAACTGTTTTTAAATACACAAAGGGGGTTAGAATTTTCGTATGGCTAAGGCTTCAATAAACCTTAGTAATATGCCTTTTCACACTTTTGTACAACACCACAAAAGACGGGTTAAGATCAATCTTACGATCTGTTTCAATTATTTGTTTGCCAATAGAGGATGATAGATGTTTATCCTCTACTCTTATTGAGTCATTTGAATCTGTTTGTTTCTGAAACCCGTTTAGGTACATGTTCACGCTAATTTTGAGATCACGATTACTCCTCCCTAAGTGATCGCCAGTTAGATAGTACCAGTTCAGGAATTAATATTTAAATAATGTTCATTCATTTCAATACATAGTGCCAGCAACTACAATGTCTAATTGACGAATCAATATAGACGTTTAATTAGAAGTTTATGGGGAAAAAAGCTCGACAAAGTTACACTATTAAAATGAACTTAAGATATAAAAAAAGAGAATAAATTACTTTAGTGAAGCCATTTATGTGTGAAGGAGTTGTTATTTTATACATTAGATAAACTTTGTTCATTATAGAAATAATTAGAGATGGAACAATTCGAAATTGGTTCACCTTCTTCCAACTAATTACAATATTTTTGATTAAGATTATGAATAGATCGATGTTATATCATTATTGAAAATCTAGAAGCACTAGACGGTCGTTTAGTCCTAGTATGGTACTCATGAGTAGTGCACATCCACGACTCTGCACCATTGAGACTCGAACCTTGGACTTCCAGTTTCGCGCGCGAATGTTTAAGCTCTAGACCACTGAGCCGACCGGCATCCAACGGTAATAATGTCTAACTTCAACCAATCGACGAAACTGTGCGACCATCTTCTATTGTCTGAGATAGATACTTGTCACTATCTCAAATAGATTAGCTCCACTGGTCATGGCTTCTCAATTGAACTCAGAGAATTCTCTCATGAAGCTAGTCACTAGTGAGTATATGGTAATTATTTGATTGAGATCATGAATCGATCGATGTTAGATCACCATTGAAATATTATTATATAAACATTTATTTATATAAATAGTATTTCAGTGAAAGTAGAAAGATTATCCTACTTTCTATGTTGTTTTTCATAAATTTATCTTCTAAGTTAACCTTTATGCTATGACACATTTACCTAATTCCTATGGAATGTCAAGTGACAAGTTTATTTGTTTATCTCACACAATATCTATACACAATATACTCGTGTTTCTTAAATGTTTAACCCATCTGTTAAGCAAATGTAAAAACTGAGAATGATTAGTGTAGTTCGACATCAAAATCGAATGAATATACATTTACAATAAATGGTCTTGAAGTAAAAGATATATATGCTTTTTCTGCAACACATGACATGCCTAGACTCATACGGCCTATATCGATCTTAGCCCCAAATGTACTTTCATATCTGGTCATTCTTGATTTCTGGTTTTATTAGCTCTGGGATCGTGTAAGAAGTCATTTCGGATAGTGCTGTCATATTCTACGTATCCTTGACCGCATCGAACAAAGTACTATAAAAAGCCGTCCTGAACAATAATCAATTGTTAATTGATGATTAGCTTCTGATGATAGGATTGAGATGTCATCAGTCTTTCGTAAGCACAACAACAAAGTCTATTAGTGATCTAAAACAAAACATCAGGAAGGAAAATTTCAGCAAATTTTACAAAACTTCCTGATGATGGCCTACAGTAATGATTGTTTTAGAAAGCAACTTTCAAGCCTCAATTAGAGAAACATCAATACAATGATTTTGCTTATTGGTAGATTATGAAAATAAGAGAGAGTGGATTGTAACTAAAAATAGTCTTTATTCAGGTATCACGGGGAAATCGGGTCTACAAAAACAAGCAGATATCAAAACTATTACTCAAGCATACGGATTATTAACCCAAGTTTATGCTAATTAACTGGGATGCACCGACTATGCGTATTGTTTATCCGTTTGAATAGACAAAAGCTATACTTTAGTGGTTTATTGTCCACTAACAGACATATGTTTGATTAGTGTTGGCTACCGAATTTTCGGCAATATTGAGAAGGATATTTTAACTTGAAGCATGTAGGACTAGCAGGAACTGATGTGTTAATTTTATAGAACAAAATCATGATGTGCTAGGAATATATTTTAGATTGATTGATATCTTAGCTACAGTAGGAGTGACAGAAGTGATTTGATCAGATATCTTTATTTATCATCCAATTATAAGTGAAGATGAATTGTGGGTAGCATTGAGATCCAGGATGCGCGTTTCATCCTATTTGGGACTCGTTAGCTGGATGTACCCATATCCCAAAGTTGACGTACACTCCGGAACTTGGCACATATGCCTATAAGAGCCTGGTCAATTGCAGCCCTAAGCATCAATGGAAAGATTTAAACGACTAATACGGAAATGAATTAAAGCATCATGTAAGTAGTTTATAACATAACATAGAAGTTCACTCTGAATAATTAAAATATGACTAGTATGAATAGTAAAATCGTTGGGCGAACGACTATAGGAAAAGAGAAATCTTAGGAAAATTCCTACATGGAGGTATGTTTATTGATAAGGCACTCGCTTTCACCAGATATCTTACTGCGATCATATTCCTAGCAAACGGTATTACCACTACAGGAGTAATAACGATGGTACAATTAGAGATCTAGAAATAGCGTATTTGCGTGATGTGGCTGTAAATTTCAACAATCGAAATTATAAAGCATACTAACTAACTCCTTTGCTAACTAGACTTATTAAATGGTACAAGAATGAGTTAATACAAAAGCTAAAAATGATCAAACCAAGATAAGGTGTCAATTTATAGAATATACGACATATATTTTATTTGGTATCTTAGAGATAATTTTGTGATATAATTGGAAACATTGAGTGATATAGGTCATAGTTGATCGTAATTATACTGATGGAATCAAACCTCGATTCTTCATGTCTTGCAGAAAATATGATACTATTAGGTTACCGAGTTGGATTGTAATAGCTTACATTCCCAGATTCTGCCAAATTTTCAATGAGATAAAAAAAACTGTCCTAAAAACGTAAAATGTTATGAAATGATAGACGTTCGAAAATGTATACCATATGATGAATACCAAACTGGTCTAATAGTTAAGTGATTGCTACAGAACGTGACAGCCTTTAACTAGTTCTTTGTTGGATCTTGGATATACACATCTGAAGAGTCC